CGCCGCAGGCATCCCACTTCTGGAGCAGGGCCCACAGCTCGGCGCGGTCCATATGGACACGCGCCCCCTTTTGGCCAGCAGGCCACTCTGACGCCGGGAGCCGCATCTCCTCTGGATTGACGAACGCTTCGCGGACTCGAGCGTCAGAGAGAAATGGAATGGGATCAAACACTGGCGAGTAATCCCACTTAATGCGAGACGCCCTGACTTTTAAATCGAAGGGCTCGACCTGGGTGGAGTCCCAAGCCGCCGCAGACGCCAGCGAACCAGGCACGGAAGGAGCGCTGGTCGGGCAGTGCCGCATGGGGGCGGGCACGGAAGAAGAGGAGGTGAAGGAGGCCTCCAAAGCTGCAACATGGGTGGCCAGGCCATGGAGCGAGACCTCAGTAGAGTCGAACTTGGCGAAGGCTCGACCTAAGTCGCTCTTGCCACCACGGGCAAGGCGAACTGCGATCCGACACAACCGTTCGATACGGGTGCGGACGCCCTCCTGGCAGGGCGAGACCGTGGCGCGGACACGAGCCTCGGCGGGAGCGAGGCTAGGATGACCCAAAGTGAGCCAGTTCAACGCAATAACAGAATACTGCGCGAGCGTCCGCGCCGCGCGCCGCAATCTCCAGCGCTCCCTGCGCCTCGCCGACAAGCCGTCAGGCGGGGGACCAAGAGGTGGAGCAGGCGGGCACGGCCAAGGATCGCGGGGAGGCGGCCCCAAAAGGTACGGGTCGTCCCTGTCCATTGCACGCATTGATGAGCGGGAGAAAGATCCAAGAGAACATCGAGCACCCATCCCAACCTGGGACAGCGCTGCCGCCCAGTGGGTGATATCAATGTTCGCGCCTGGAAACAGGCGCAGCAAGGCAGACAAGTCAGCGACAAATGGCGCGACGTTGGCAAGAGCAGCAGGGGTGCTTGAAGGAGAACAAGCACCAGCAAGAACACCAACCTCAGGGGCTGCAGGCCCCATGGGGGGAGCGCTCGACTGAGGCAGGTGACGGCCAAAATGGCCGAATGGATCCGAGGGGCGGTTCGGAGCAGAGCGAGGGGCGTGGTGGCGGAACGTACTCCTCCCTGCGGGGCCGCAACAGCATCGCTGGAGGAGCGCATTCCTACCCTCACGCCCTCGCTGCGCCCAAACACGCCTAGCAGCCGTAGCAGCGTCGGTGCAGACTGTCTGCGGCGGCGTACCCCGGCCACGCGAAGGCCCCCCCTCCAAGAAGGCGGGCGCCAAGGGCATCTTCAGTCCTTCTTGGGCACCGCCTTCGGGGCCTTGGGAGCACCCTGAGACTTGAAGGGGGGCTTTGAGACCTTGGGCTGCTTGGGCTGATGAGGTGGATGCTTGGGGAGCGCGACGGCGCGCTCGGCGTCGAGGCGCGCCCGAAATGCTTGCAGCTCCTTCATGTATTCGCCCTGCGCCGACAGCCAGCGAGGATCCACTAGGGGTGAAAACGGGGTCTGGGCCTCGCGCTCCGTGCGACGACTGGTCACGCGACACGGGGGAGGCTCCAGCCCCGTGAGGAACCAAGCGGCCTCGAGGTAGCCGCGGTCCCCCGCCAACTGGTCGATGAACATGCACTGGCAAGTCAGCAAGGTCTGGACCCTCTCGGGGTTGCCCTCCTCGCAGGCCCGCCACAGCTCGGCGCTGAGGAAGGCAAAATGCGTCAACAACTCGTGCGTCGACGGCTGAGCCCCGAGGGGGCTGTGCTCGCGAAAGTACTGATGCATGGCCATGGGGGTCACGGCGCTGACTTCCACGCCCAGAACGCGGGCCAAATTCTCCTTCATCAGTCCTCGCACGTCGGGGCCGTGCTGCATCAGCGCTTGCTGCCACTCGCGCCTCCGAGCGATTCCCCCCATCTGAGCCGATGCGTGCGCGGGGTCGCCCGAGGTCGCGGGCGGAGTTTGAGCTTGGTCGCTCAGGGTCCCCAGAAGCGGGTGGAAGGCTGGGCGATGGCCCCGCCCCTGCTGCAAGGAAAGGGACTGGTGCAGGCACTGAAGCATGAGGCTGAAGTCCGTCGGATTGGCCGCAAGGGGCGGCTCTAACCCGTCGGCGCCGCCCGCCTCGGCAAAGCCGTCGACCGCAGCGGGATGGGCTAGCCCAGGCGGCGGCGGGGGGCCCATCGGTCCGGAAGCGGACGAAGGGGCCCGAGGGACAGCAAGAGAGCGCGCCTTCTCCCACGCCGAGACCAGCGCGGAGGTGGGTCCCTTGGGGCGCGCGGAGACCCGATGTGGGGCCACGGGCGCGTGGGACAAGACGGCCTCGATCCCCGCAGGATCCAGCCCGAGGCGCGCCGCCTCGTCGCTGAAAAGCTGAGGCACCTCGGGCCGAGCGCTCCGGGCAGCCGGAGCGGGGCCCAGCGGTTCGGGTCCGCCGACCATCGTGGAGGCCGCGTGGGCTGCAAGCAAGGCGCGCATTTCGGCAGCTACCTCGGCGCGGGTCATGGGAGCCCCGTCGTCCAGAGACGCCGCAGGAGCACCAGGAGCAATCGGAGCAGGACCCGCGACCCGTGGCGGCGCGGCGGCGCCAGCGCGCTTGGCGGGCGGGCCGCGCGGCGCTCCAGCGACCGCGGGGGCTCGCGCACTTGGGGCCGCGCGGTCGGCTTCCCCGTCGGCCGCGAACCCCTCGGGCTCCTCCATCTCGTCGGCAGAGTGGTAGGGGGTAGCCCGATCGGCCCCTGGGAGAGGCTCTTCCCCTGCGGTAGGCGGGGCGCCGTGCAAACGAGCGTAGCCCTCGCGAAGCACCCGAACCCCCGAAGGATGCGGCCAATAGACGCGGCTGCGCACCTCGGCGAAGGGAACGATGCCTGCGTCGTCGCCGACCTCTAGAGGGTACAGCGACTCGAGCTCGAGCTCGGCAACCTCGATATCTATAACGAGGACGGATGCGGTAGTGGCGAGCGGCCGTGAAGCGGCCCCCTGGAGCTGGACGTCCACTAGCTGGAAGGGGCCTATCATCCCAGCAAAGCCATCCGCCTCGGCAGCCTCGAGCTCCGCTGTAGAGCGAAAGGCACCAGGCAGGGCCAGCAGGATGCCCCCTTCTCGAGAGGCGAGGGGGATAGCCGCCCAGCTGGTGTCGCCGTCGTCTAGGCGCCATCGTGCGTAGTCGCGCGCCGTGGGCGCAGCGAAAGGGTAGAGCTCGGGCCAAAGGGGCCCTCCGCCAACTGGTGGCAGCTCCGCCATCAGTGGGCGCCGCCGTGGACGCCGCCGCCCGCACGCTGGGCGTCTGCCCGCTCGAGCGCTTGAGGTCGAGGCGGAGCCCCGTAGGCCAGCGCTCGCGCCGCACGGCGGTCCTGCTCAGGTGAAGCAGAAACCGCGCCGCGCGGCCAGGCGGAGGGCCAGAGCCTCCGCCACACGTACGGGCCCAGCAGCCCGAGGCAGCAGCCCGCGCAGGCGCTGCAGGCGGCCGTCACCCAGAGGAGGGCGGCGACCGTGCTGAGCAGCCAGGGAGAGACCCCGCCGCTCAGGTCCACCGCCAGCCCGAGGCAGACGGTGGGGCAGGTGGAACCCGCCGAAGGGAGAGGGCAGGAGGCCCCCTCACCCTCGGACGAGTCCGCCTGCTGGATGGACCAGGCAGGCGATGGAGGCCCCTGGTCCTGAAGCACAGAGAGGGGGGCAGCCACGAGCCGCTCGTAGAGCGCGGCCCGCAGCCCCCTGAACAAAATCTCCCCAGCGCCCTGGAGAGCCGCTTGTGCGACCGCCTGCATAAGGCGCCCGCACGCGCGGCCGACGGGGGGCACTTGGGCAGAGAAGCTGCGGAGACAGCAGGAGCTTGCTCACAGAGAATAGAAGAGGCATGATGATGATGATGATGATGATGATGATGATGATGATGATGATGATGATGATGATGATGATGATGATGATGATGCTGATGATGATGATGATGATGACGATGATGATGATGATGATGATGATGATGATGATGATGATGATGATGATGATGATGATGATGATGATGATGATGATGATGATGATGATGATGATGATGATGATGATGATGATGATGATGATGGGAGGAGGGAGGGGGAGGGGAGGAGGAGGAGGTGAGGAACGCGGGGCGCCGTCTCTTCAAAACGAGGACCCAACACCACAGGATGGTTGGGAAAAAACGGCCCTGCCGTTTCGGGGGCCCACTAAGGCCCCCGGGTGATCCAGAACTCCAACGGAAAAAAAAGACGCGGGCCACCGGGACCGTCGCTATCGCGAGCAGCACGAGAGCTGTCTGAACCACCACAGGGCGCCGTCGCACCACGTGGCAAGCATCTAGGACTCTGCTGCTTCCTGCTTCAAACTGTGGCCCCAAAGTTCCCTGGTTAAATCATCACGGCCCCAAGGATCAACGAACAACACAGACTCAAGCACATAGGGAGGGGGAAGGGGGAATGGCAAGGCGACGAACGCGCTACAGGCATGGGTGCAAGTGGTCGGACCTCGAGGGGGGGTCCCGTTCGAGCGGGGACCCCCATCCGACAGCACGCACCCATAGCCCCCCCAGCATTCCACCCCGGGAAGTCTAAGAGACGTGTAGGTATGGGTGTCAGTTGTCAGCTCGTGATTGCAGCTGTGGCCGGATCGCGAGCTGTGGACACCTTGGCTTCAGCATGGCAAATCCACAGATGTTAACGCTATGATTGCGGTCTGCCCCTGTTTGGCAGCGCGCACAAGGGGGTAGGGGAAGGGGGGAAGGCCTCTTAGAAGGAGTCTGCTTCTTCGAAGGCGCCGGCCTTACATCTACAGACAAGGCCCGCACCTGCTACGAAGCAGGGGTGTGGGAAAGGGCGACAGGCCTTCATCCCGAGGCAACTCCGAAGGTCCGGGAGCCCAGCAGGGGCCCCTGGGCGTCGAAGACTGCCGCCCAAAACTACCCGTCGCTACTTGCGCGTGCAACGCGAAGAGTTCTGGGCATCAAGGAATTGCCGAAGATCATCCGTCCTTGTTTTCCTGCAGTGCGAAAAAGGCCGGGGAGGCCGGGGTAGTAGCCCGCATGGGGGGCCGAGTACGGCCTGGCACTTCTCCGCCTCGGCCAGGGCCTTCTTGATCTTGGCGGCGTCCCTGGCGGCCACCGCCTGAAGGGGTAGGTGCGGGCCAGCTGGCAGGAGGAGAGAGCCCCAACCTCCTCCTCCTCCTCCTCCTCCTCCTCCTCCTCCTCCCTCCTCCCTCCTCCTCGTCCTCCTCCTCCTCCTCCTCCTCCTCCTCCTCCTCCTCCTCCTCCTCCTCCTCCTCCTCCTCCTCCTCCTCCTCCTGCTCCTCCTGTGCCGGCGGATGGCGTGTCTGGCCAGCGGCGCCCTGTGATCGGGGGCTGGCGCATTCCCCCAATCCCCAAGAATGACCGCACGTTTCAAACGAGGGCTACCCCGAGGTGGCACGGGGTGCTCCAACCAGGGCCTGCAGAATCCGATACCGAGGAGCGCGGCGGCGACTCAGTGGAATCTGCCGATCCGGCGTGTGAACTACAAGGAGCCTCTTTCAGCAAGAGCTTCAGCTCTGAGCCTAAGCAAGAGCTTCAGCTCTGCTTGGGGAGGTCGCTGGGGTGGCTCTGCCGGGGAAGGGGGGCAGGGGGGGGGGCGGTGCCCCACCTAGTGTTTTCGTAATGATTTGCGCATCCCCAAGATGTTTCGGGGAGTACCAGGGACCCCCCCCAGGACTCTCCCCTCGGAACCATCCCCGGACCCTCCGGGGAAGGGGGGGGAAGGGGGGGGACTGATCCCCCATCTGGCGTTTTCTTCATGGTTTGCGCATCCGCAAGATGTTTCGGATGGTCCCAGGGACACCCCTCAGATCTAGCCGCTACCGCCCCCAGGACCCTCCCCTCGGAACCCTCCCCGGACCCCCCTCGGGACCGCTCCAGGCACCCCCCCAGAGGGCACGTCAGCTCCAGAAAGCGTCGCCGACGACTCCAAGAGCGCCCTCCCTCCCAAACAGCGTCCCCGACGACTCCAAGATCACCGAGTCCCGAGCCCCCCGGATCGGCGGCACTGGCCAGAGGCCATTACAATAGAGGCCTCCCAAAAGAGATCCGCGTAGATGGGGTCGAAGGATAGCCTAGACGGAGGGCGTAGCCGACCGCGAGCACCAGCGGACCCCCTCGGCCGGCCCAGCCTGACACGCCCTCCTTCTCCTCGCCTCGTCCCCCCCGGCAGCGCCAAGGGGCCGGGGCCTTGGATAGCTTCCCGGCGGCCTTGATGCGCGCATCCAGGTCCTGCGGGCGGGCACCATCCTCCTGACTCATCCCCTTGCCTTATACAGAACTCCTTACTGTCGCACCCCGAGGCGTGTCGGAAGGGCGCGCCGGGCGCTTCGCCTATGACGCCCTCGCAATTGACGGTCCCAAAACTGACAGGTTCGCAAGGGTTTGATGTAAAGAAGGCGGGCCATGCTCAAAATGTGGCTCTCGCCTTAGCGACGCGTGCAAGAGGTTCACAGATGGACGGACGGTCGTTTCAAAAAGACAGTAATCGCACTTGCGCCGCGAAAAAACGTGTTTCCAGCAGCTTCACGGATGGAGGGGGGGTCCTTTTCAAAATGTGGTTCTCGCTTTAGCGCCGCGCTTCTTAGTCTGAAAAGCTTGCAAGAGCTTCACGGATGGATGGCGGCTCCTTTTTTTAATGTGACCCTCGCGTTAGCACCTCGCACATTCGTTCGAAAAGTGAGCAGAAGTTTCACAGATGGACGGCGGATCGCTTTCAAAATGTGGCTTTCGCACTTGCGGCGCGCACATTCGTCTCAAAACCCTGCAGGAGCTTCACGGATGGAGGGCGGGCCGTTTTCAAGATGGCTTTGGCCTTAGCGCCGCTCACATGTGTCATAAAGTTCCCAACAATGTTACGTATTATCATGCTTGACTCATCAGGAATGGTGTTGCGGCGCGATTTAGGACTGGGGATTCTCCGACGGTGGTCTTCCAACGGCACACTTTCAACACTAAGACTAATTCTCGTACGAACCTATGATGAGGGAACTTGGAAGACGGGCTAATTGCAACATGGTTGATGTGTCCTAGGTTTTCTCTGGACCTCCTCCTCCTCCTCCTCTTCCTCCTCCTCCTCCTACACCTCCTACTCCTCCTTCTCCTCCTCATCATCCTTATCCTCATCCTCATCCTCCTCCTCTTCATCCTCCTCCTCCTCATCATCACCATCCTTCTCCTCCTCTCCTCCTCCTCCTCCTCCTTCTCCTCCTCCTCCTCCTCCTCTTCATCCTCCTCTTGGTTCTCCTCCTCCTTCTCCTCCTCCCCTCCTCCTCCTCCTCCTCCTCCTCCTCCTCCTTCTCCTCCTCCTCCTCCTCCTCCTCCTCCTCCTCCTCCTGATCATCATCATCATCATCATCACCATCACCACCACCACCACCACCACCACCACCTTTTATCATCACCCTCATCAGGAGCATCATCCTCATCATCAGCAACATCGTCATCATCATCAACATCATCATCCTCATCACCATCACCACCACCATTAGCATCATCATCATCATCATCATCATCATCACCACAACCACCACCACCACCACCACCATCATCATCATCATCATCATCATCATCATCATCATCATGAACATCACCATCATGATCATCATCATCCCCACCACCATCATCATCATCATCATCATCAGCATCATCATCAGCATCAGCATCATCATCACCACCACCACCATCATCATCAGCAGTATCAGCATCAGCATCAGCATTATCATCAGCAGCATCATCATCCTCATCATCAGCAGCAGCATCATCAGCATCAGAATCATCATCGACATCACCATCATCATCATCAGCCTGAGCATCATCATCAACATCATCATCAGCATCATCATCATCATCCCCATCATCCTCCTCATCATCAGCATCGATATCATCCACATCCTCATTATCATCTTCACACTCATCATCATCAGCATCAGCATCAGCATCAACATCAGCATCAGCATCATCATCATCCTAAGCATCATCACCAGCAGCATCATCATCGTCATCATCATCCTCGTTATCATCCTCATCCTCATCCTCATCTTCATCCTCATCATCATGTTCATAATCATCAGCAACATCGTCATCATCATCATCATCATCATCATCATCATCATCATGATCATCATCATCATCATCATCATCATCAGCAGCAGCAGCAGTATCATCCTCATCCTCATCCTCATCCTCATCATCAGCATCATCATCATCATCATCATCATCATCATCATCATCATCATCATCATCATCATCATCATCCCCCTCCTCCTCCTCCTCCTCCTCCGCCTCCTGCTCCTTCTCCTCATACTCTTCCTCATCATCATCCTTCATCCTCCTCCTCCTCCTCCTCCGCCTCCTCCTCCTCCTCCTCCTCCCCCTTTTCCTCCTCATCCTCCTCCTCCTCCTCCTTTTTCTCCTCCCCCTCCTCCTCCACCTCCTCCTCCTCCACACGACCTTGGGTCGAGAGCACGAGCCCTTCGCCGAAGCCCCAAGGCCCTTTGGAGATGCCAAGCAAAAAACGAAGGGCATCCCAAGATGGCGAGCGCAGCAACAAGGAAGATGCAGGTTCGGGGAGACGCAAGCCTCGGGTTCGGGGGACTCGGGTTGGCCAGACGGGGCCACCATGAAAATGACGCGACCCAGGCCGAAACCTGACGCGGACTCCCGCCACAAACATCCCACGAAAACTGGACCGTCAAAATCCAGGAGTCGCTCGCCAAAAAGCGTCGGGAAGCCCGAGTTCCGGGGTACTCGAGGCCTACGTTTCCCCGATAAGATTAAGGCGGGCGTGTCCCTCTACAGGCGGATTTTGCCGGGGAAAAAAAAACAAATGGGCACTATCTTTTTAACTATTTTTAAATATACCTCCTGTAGATGGACACGCCCGCCTTAGGCCTGCGTTTCCCCGACAAGAAGGCCAAGGCAGCGACGGCGGCGACCACGGCGGACCTCGTCGCAGTGCCAAGACGGCCCAGTCACAACCGCCCTCGGGCGGTGCTCGGTCCGCGAGGCGCCCCGGGCCCTGGGGCCATCCTCGTCCCAGCCCCGTCCGACAGACCCCGACGTCGTGGTTTTGCTCACCTCGCACGGCGTGGACACCCCAGGGTCTCGACCCCTGACCTGGGGGCCGGCGCTGTATCCTGGGCCACTCTGTGGGCGGTCCTGGGGGGGAGGGCCCCCGCGAGAGACAAATTACCCTGGCGACGTACCCAACCCCTGCGCAATGCGGGGCAGGAGCAGCTTGGGAGAATTGACGACACGAGAAGGCGGCGACCTGACATGGACGTATATACTTTCGCGGGCGGCATTCGGAAGGTTCGCAGGTCCCCAATCAAGGGAAAAGCGATGAATAACTAAGTGAACCCCTGAATTACTAAGGAAGACGCAAGGTCCAAAAGGAGACCGTGGGCAAGGGGCTTTAAACCTCGGCGGGGCAGCAACAACATGACATGACCGCCCAGGGACGGCGAGGTGCCGCTCAGGTCCGCGCAGTGCCCCACTGCGCTGGACCCACCAGCAGCCTTCGAAAGTGGCGAGCACACCAGCAGCCTTCGAAAGTGGCGACAGTTTCGCAGATCGCAACTCCCCCCAAGGACGGCGAGGTCTACCTCAGGCCTGCGCGGTGCCTCACTCCGCTGGACCCACCAGCAGCCCTCGAAAGTGGCGACAGTTTCGCAGACCGCAGCCTCCCAGCGACGGCGAAGAGAGGGCAGGAGGAAGGAGGAGGCGGGAGGAAGGACGCGCGAGCAGTGCTCGAGTCCGAGGGTTGGGAAAAATAGCAAAATCCTTTCGCCATGACTTTCTCATACGCTAAATATGGGCCGCGAGAGGCCGAAAATCACAAAATCCTGCCTTCGGCACCCCCAGAAATCTCGACCCACTCGCAGGCAGGGACTGGCTCTTCATCCTGACTCGTTTCTTGGCGCTCCCGGGGCCAGCCGGGGGCCCCGAAAGACCGAAAACGGCGGGGGGGGAAGCAAACAAAAAAAAGCAGCAGCAGCAGCAGCAGCAGCAGCAGCAGCAGCAGCAGCAGCAGCAGCAGCAGCAGCAGCAGCAACAACAACAACAACAACAACAACAACAACAACAACAACAACAACAACAACAACAACAACAACAACAACAACAACAACAACAACAACAACAAAAACACAACGCCGTCTCGATTTTTCCCCTGAGCTGGATCTCTGGGCACGAGGCCGACAATGGCAAAATCCTTCCCTCATGATGCTCCCAGTGCGCCAGAGCTAGAAGAACGAAGAATGACATAAACATAAAAAACTCCAGCGCGGATCCGAGAAATCCGCGGGGACCTCCGAATCTCTATGTTTCTGTCACTCTTCGTTCCCCCGACAGCGGCCCGAGGCCGCGGGCCCCGGGCGGCTCTCGGGGCCGACGCCGGGGACCCCGGGCGGCAGCCTCCAGGCGCTGCTCAGCGGCCCGCAGCTCCTGCGCCGCGTCGTCGACGCCGGCGGCCTGGCGCCGCCGCCGCAGGCTCCTCCTCCTCCTCCTCCTCCTCCTCCTCCTCCTCCTCGTCCTCCTCATCCTCCTCCTCCTCCTCCTCCTGCTCCTCCTGCTCCTCTTCTTCTTATAAATACAATTATCATTATGATTAATATGCTTATTACTATTGTTATGGTTGTGATTATTCTGCTTATAAAAAGGATACTTACGATTATCTTATTATGATTGTTATGATCATCCGTATGATGGTTATTAGTAATAATAGTATTGTTGTGATTTTGATTATCACAATAATTCGAATAATGATGACAATAATAACCGAATGAAGAAGAAGATGAAGAATATCAGCAGTATGATTCGTATTATTCGTATTACTATTAGTAATCATATGATTTGTTTTATTAGTACAATCATCTAAATTAGTATTAGAGGTATTACTGATAGTATTAGTATTGTTAATATGGTTATGGTTACCACTAGTAATATTAATAGTGATAGCATTATTCGTATGTGACTTCTTGTTATCAATCAGACGTGTAATAATACAAATGATAATGGCACCAATAACAATGAGACTGATAATAACACTAATCATAATAATAACAATAACAATAATAGTAATAATACTAATAATACAAGTAATAGAAATCCGATGAGTTACGAATAATACTACTTCTACGAATAATACTTGTGTTCGCATTATTGTTTATTCGTATTAACAATATTAATATTCGTATTCATCGTGTTCGTCGTCTTATTCTCCTGATTTGTACACTTGCTCTTAATATTATTAGTATTAGTACGATTACTGCGAGTATTGATCCTATTATGATTGTGAATATGCTGGTCATTCTTATGATTATTCCTCCTCCTCCGCCTCCTCCTCCGCCGCCGCCGCCTCCTCCGCCTCCTCCGCCTCCCTCGCCCCCACCGTCTCCTCCCCCTCCCCTCCCCCTCCTCCCACGATTGGAGGCCCGGGAATGGGCACCAACACCAACACACGGGCATGCCTAAACCAGGGGAAGATGATCCTAGAGTTCAGTGTGGGTGGTAATACTTCGGCCACCTAGGAAGCCAAAAAAAATTACCACCCTCACCGAGATCGGGAGCACCTTCTCTCGATGGAGGCACACCGCCGATACTGGCGTTGGTGTCTACCTCTAGGCCTCCCCCACGACTGGCCATTTCGGCGTCCTCACTTGGATCATCGCTGGGGATGCTAAAGGGGCAAGGGGCTCTGAGTGGATGCCCAGGTGGGTGATATCTGGCCTGACCCATTGAGCGTCTCGTGGGCCTCTTGGGGGCCTGGAGGCCCGTGTGGAGCCCTTTTGGCGCCCTTTTGGGGCAATGTTGGGCGGTCTTGAGACCCGTTTGGGCCGTCTTGGGCTTGGTCCGTCTTGGGGCCTTCTGGCCGCTTCACTCGAAAAATCCGCCGATCCGGCGTGTGAGTTTCAAGGAGTCTCAGATACAGCCTCGAGGCTGAGCCTCAGCCTCTGGGGGTTGCCGGGGTGGCTCTGCCGGGGAAGGGGGGGTGGGGGGGGGGGGTGCGAGTTTCCGGCGGATGCGTTTTTTTACATCCCTCACAAGGATCGTGGCCTCCGATCCGAGGGGGTTCCGAACTCGAGTACCACCCCTCCCGCACCAAGACGCTCCGAGGAGACCTCCAAGAGGCCCCAAGGGGCGCAGAAGAGGCCCCCAACAAGCCCCAAGAGGCTCCCAAGAGACCCCCAAGAGGCCCTCTAGTGGCCCCAAGAGGCCCGAGAGGCCCCCAAGAAGCCCCGAGAGGCGCCCAAGAGGCCCCCAGAAGTCCCAGCCAACCACGAGATCCCAACCAGCATCCATGAGGCCTCTGACCCACCACCCACGCACGGTGGCGGGATAGGCCGACGGCCACTGGATCCGCCGCCCCCTGCTTGCAGGGGTGCACGGCGTGCTGGATGTTTCAGGTTTTGGTTTTGGTTCTTTTTCCAAAAGAACTCCCCAGTGGGCTCCGGCCCGTCCCGCCACCGTGCCCAAAAACGGCCGTTTCGCTCGGGACATCCTCAAAAAATCGCGAAGATGGCCCAAGATGGCCTCCAAGTCCGCCCGAGATGGTCCAAGACGGCCTCCAAAACGGCCCAAGAGAGTCCAAGACGGCCCAAGACGGCCCAAGAGGCCCCCCAGAGGCCTCCCAGACGGCCCAAGAGGCCTCCAAGAGGTCCTCCAGGAGAGTCCGAAGAGGCCAAAATCATTGATTTTCCCTTGGTTTTTGAAGGATTTTGGCATTTGCGCCTTTTCGGCTCTCCGACGGCTCAAGACGGCCCAAGAAGCCCCCAAGATCGCCCAAGAGGCCCCCAAGAGAGCCCCCTGATGGCCCAAGTGGCCTCCAAGATGGCCCCTAGAGGGCCCCAAGACGGCCCAAGAGGCCTCCAACACGCCCAAGATGGCCTCCAAGACGCCCAAGATGGCCTCCAAGACGGCCCTGGAGCGCCCCAAGAGGGTCCCCCGTTGGCCCAGAAAGGCCCCCAAAACGGCTCCCGACGGCGTCAGACGTGCCAGGAACCCACCAAGATGGCCGAAGTTGGCTCGAAGCTGGCCCAAAAGGGCCCAAGAGGCCCCCAAGAGGGCCTCCAGGAAGGCCAAAAGATGCCAAAATCACTGATTTTCCCAAGGTTTTTGATGGATTTGGGCATTTCCCTTTTTTCGGCCTTCCGACGGCCCGACACGGCCCAAGAGCCCCCAAAGATCGCCGAAAGATCGCCCAAGAGGCCTCCAAGACGGCGACGATGACCATCAAGACGCCCACGTGTTCCCCGAAGGCTTTCCAAACCGATTCGGGGAACACATGGTCCGATGGCTTGGCAGGTCTGGCCTCAACGTTCGGCCACATAGGCGCTTCCACAAAGGCAGGGGGCGGCGGTGATTCGCCGTAGGCGTCTTCGATAAATGCTGAGTGAGAGGAGGGGAGGGAAAAAGAGAGGAGGGACGAGGGCGAAGAAGGATCACATCAGTCGGAGCGCCCCGGATCGGCGGCACTGGCCGAAGGCCACTACAATACAAAGAAACAGGCCATGGGAGCCGCCCGGGAGCCGCTTCACTCGAAAAAATACCTGGAAAGCTGGCCGTTACATCTCATCCTGGTCCGCCTCGCCCCTCCCCTGGACCCCTCCTTCCAGGGCTGCGCCCCACCAGAACGTCATCACTCGTACCTCGCTCTTTTCATTACCTGCTTGGCATGGGGACGGAAAGCGCGTTTATTTTGTGAGGGCGCGAAGTCGCTGGCTTAGTGTCTTGGAGCCCTGTTGGTGTTAAGGCTTCGGTACGACATACAAAATCTAGCAACCAACCTTGCGAAAATCAATAAATATTGCATTTCCGGGCCTGCCTGGGGGTCCGTGTGGAGCTTTTTGATGCCGTCTTGAGGCCCTTTTGGGCTGTCATGGGACCCTCTTGGGCCGTCGTGGCGGGCTTGGGCCACCCTGCCACCAGGGCCTTCGGTGGAGCTCCCTGTGGGGCCACGATCCTCGTCAGGGGCGTGCCGAACTGACCCGAGTCCGTCATGCGGACCCTGCCACTGAGGCATTCGGTGGAGCTCAGCTCCCTATGGGGCCAAGATCCTCGTGAGGGGTGTGCCGAACTGGCCCGAGTCCGCCATGCGGACCCTGCCACTGGGGCCTTCGGTGGAGCCTTCTATGGGCCACGAAACGTGTGAGGGTTGCGCCAAGATGGTGGACATGCGGAGAGCAGGGGCAGGGATGGGAGGAGGGAGGAGGGGGGTAACGGGAGAGAGGAAGGAACGCGGGGCGCTGTCTCTTCAAAACGGGGACCCAACACCACAGGATGGTCGGGACAAAACTGCATGAACATCAGCGTTGGGAGGTCCGCGAGAATTTCTTGGGTCGGCGATGGACGCCGCCCCTGGCGCACGGTGGTCCGGCGCCGATCCAGCAGATCCGCGCGGAGCTCCGAAAGCCGAGGTTTAGGCCTTCTGCTGCTTTTGCGGAAGATGGCTGCTGAGGGGAGAGGGCCCTTCCGGTGTCTCGGCGAGCCCCCGGCGCCTTCGCGAGCTTGAGGGCGGCCTCCAGCTCGCTCTTCGGGGCGGCGCCGTCCAGCAACGCCTCGGGCAAGGCCCGCCCCCGCCCCCCTCAAAGCCCCCACACGCCCCCAGCGATGTTCCCCTCGCGATCCTCCTCGATCTCCCTCGCGGTCCTCCTCGATCCTCGATCCTCGATCCTCCTCGATCCTCGGTCCTCGATCCCCCCGATCCTCCTCGATGCCCCTCGGGCCCTCCTCGATCCTCGACCCCTCCTGGTCCTCGACCCTCCCCGACTCTCCCTGTCGGGCGTTCGTGAGTGGAGTGCGGGGGGCGGGCAAGGTGCGGGGTGACGCGACGTGCACCAATCGAGCACCTCTTGGGCCCGCGGCTGCACTTTGGGGGCCGCTCAGGGACCCGTCGGGGCAACTCTCCAGCATTCCTCGATCCCCCCCCATTTTATTGCCCCCCCCCCGGTCCACAGAGCGTCCAATACTCGGCCCTCCCCGATCCTCCCCAGTCCTCCATGCTCCTCGATCCCGCTCCCATCCTCGCCAGAGAGCTGCTGCTGCTGCTGCTGCTGCTGCTGCTGCTGCTGCTGCTGCTGCTGCTGCTGCTGCTGCTGCTGCTGCTGCTGCTGCTGCTGCTGCTGCTGCGGCTCGCGCGCGCGCCGCTGGCCGCCGGGGGAAGGGCGGGAGCCCACCCACCCCGCGCCCCCCTCCCCCCCGCTCCAACCCCTCCGCACGAGGCTTGGTGCTTCGTGCCTCGGGCGGTGTGCGCCTGACCGTCGCTGTCTCGCTTCTCCCGCGCAACCCGCGCATATCCCTCCTCCTCCTCCCTCCTCCTCGCCTCGCCCGCCTCTGCCGCACAAGTGGGGTCGAAGCAAGGTGGGGTCGGCGGATCACGCCGCATCACCGATTCACCGGCGATGCACAGGCGACTCGTCGATACGTCCGCGAGCTGCGTCGGCGTGGAGAGATGCTGGCTCCACATCGAGCCGCATCGCCAAAGCATCCGCGATGCGGCGCCGTCCACCGACGCCATCTACTTCGACCTCCTTCGGGCGACCTGGCCTCACTCGCCCCGAGGAGTAAGGGGGAGGCCAGGGCCGAAGGAGAAAAGGCGCGGACACCAGAGCGTCCCTCATCCTCCCTCCTCCCTCCTCCCTCCCTCCTCCCTCCGAATGCCAGCCGCGGACGTGGCGGACCCGCTGGCACTCAGGGGGCGGCCCCTGAGCTTTGTCCTCCCTCCTCCCCCCTCACACATCCCTCCTCCCTCCTCCCTCCCCCCCCTCCCCCCCTCCTCCCTCCTCCCTCCTCCTCCTCCTCCTCCTCCTCCTCCTCCTCCTCCTCCTTCTCCGCCTCCGCCTCCTCCACTTGCCCTTATAAATAACACTTCTCCTTGTCACATCCTGACCATTGAGACATCCTCACCATTGATGACCCTGAAGCTTAAGATTGACAACAGCTTCACAGATGGAGGGAGGCCCGTTTTCAAAATGTAGCTCTCGCCTTAACGCGGCGCGCGGCGCACATTCGCTTAAACAATGCACGATGTCACGGATTGAGGGCGGTTCCTTTTTAAAATGTGGCTCTCTCCTCAGCGCCGCGTACATTCGCTTTTTAATGTTTGCAGAAGTTTTAAGGATTCCCATGATTAGCGGACCAGAAATTGCGTTTCCGAAAGATTTAGGGTTATGAGGGCACAACCTTTACGTTGATTCGCGGTGTTCAAGTCACAGCAATGGCGTTCTGGCGCGATTCAGGATCGTCAAGACGCAACAGTCAGGTTGATCCGTGGCGTTGGAATCCCGAGAAGAATGTTTTGGCCTGCTTCAGGGTCTTCAAACGCTTGCCTTCCAACGAGGCAGCTCCCCCAGTGGAAATGAACCGCTGCAGGGGCCTATGAAGAGGGAGCTTGGAGGGAGGGTTTATTCCGACATCGTTGATGACTCTTGGGTCTACACTGGTCCTCCTCCTCCTCCTCCTCCTCCCCTTCCTCCTCCTCCTCCTCCTCCTCTCCTCCTCCTCCTCCTCCTCCTCCTCCTCCTCTCTCCTCCTCCTCCTCCTCCTCCTCCTCCTCCTCCCCTTCTCTCCTCCTCCCTCCTCCCCCCCCCTCCTCCTCCTCCTCACTCCTCCTCCTCCTCCTCCTCCTCCTCTCCTACCTCCTCCTCCTACTACTACTACTACTACTTACTACTACTACTACTACTACGACTACTATACTACTCTACTCCTCCTCCACTACTCCTACTCCTACTCTACCCTACTCCTACTCCTACTCCTACTCCTCCCTACTCCTATCCTACTATCCTGCTACTTCCTACTCCTACTCTACTCCTACTCCTATCCTACTCCTATCCTACTCTCTCATCTCATCCTCCTCTCCTCCTCCTCCTCCTCATCCTCCTCCTCCCCTCTCCTCTCCTCCTCCTCCTCCTCCTCTCCTCCTCCTCCTCCTCCTCCTCCTCCTCCTCCTCCTCCTCCTCCTCCTCCCCGCTCCTCCCTCCTCCTCCTCCTCCTCCTCTCCTCCTCTCCTTCCTCCTCCTCCTATCCTCCTCCTCCTCCTCCTCCTCCTCCTCCTCCTCCTCCTCCTCCTCCTCCTCCTCCCTCCTCCCTCCTCCCCCTCCCTTCCCTCCTCCTCCTCCCTCCTCCTCTCCTCCCCCCTCCTCGCCGCCGCCGCTGCCCGCCGGCCACGCCCGCCACCCGCCGCCCGCCGCCCGCCGCGCCCGCGGCCGCGACAGCCGCCGCCGCGCGCCGCCGGACTCCCTCCTCCTACCTCCTCCCTCCTCGTCCTCCCACCTCCACCCCCCCTCCTTTCCCCCCTCCCTCCTCCCCTCCTCGCTCTCCCTCCCTCCCTCCTCCCTCCTCCTCCTCCCTCCTGCTCCGCAGGACTCCCTCCTCCTCCCTCCTCCCTCTCGCTCCTCCCTCCTCCCCCCCCTCCTTTTCCCCCCTCCGCCTGCTGCTCTTTGGCCCCACATCCTGGGCCCTGGCCGGCCTGGCGTCACCCTCCTGGCCGAGGCCATGCGGGTCTGTACATTATCTTGGGACCAGCAAGGCCCTGGCCAGACATGGCGGAGGTGTGCAGGTGCCTTCTACGGACTTTCTCGTCTACCCCCTCTCCCCAGTCCCCCATCGAACCCCTCGTCCCCGTCACCGCCTTGCCCCTCTCCCCTGCCCCATCTCGTTCCTTCACCCTCGGTCCCAGGGCTCTCAGGAGGTCTCCAGAAGCCTCTGGAGGCACCCAGAGGCTTCTGGAATCGCCTAGACGTCCAACACTGACCAAAGGCAAAAAACAAAATCGACCATCATCCCATGCCATCCCCTACCCTCGCTCTTCCATTCCTTCATGTCTCTTCTCTCACGCCTCTCCTCCTCCTCCTCCTCCTCCTCCTCCTCCTCCCCCTCCTCCTCCTCCTCCTCCTCCTCCTCCTCCACCATGCCTGCATGCTACACTCCCTTCATCACTCGCCAGCCCTTACCTCTACTGTCCCTCCATCACTCCCTCCATCACTCCCACCATCACTCCCTACTCAAACAATCATCATGCCACACTCCCTGCATCACTCCCTCTACTGTCCTCATCCTACTCTTCCTCCAAAATCCCCCTTCCTTGTAAACAACTCCTCCCTCTCGCACCCCCGAACGTGTCGGCAGGACGGGCTTCGCCTGAGACATCCTCACCATGCATGATCTTGACGCTTATAACTTGCAACATGTTCAAGGATAGCGGGCGGGTGGTTTCGAAAATGTTGCTCTCGCCTTGGCGCCGCGCACACTTGCCTTAACAATTTGCAGCAATGCGCAACAAGTCTCACGGATGTAGAGCGTGTCGCGTTCAAGATGTGGCTCTCGCCTGCACGCCGCGCGCATTCACCTTAAAAACTGACAACAAGTTCAAGGAGTTGGTAGGGTTATTAAAGTCCCAGGAGTTGCGTGCTGGCATAATTCGAAACTGTCATGGCGCAACAGTCACGTTGATTCGCGGAGTTCCAGTCCCAGGCATGGCATTCTGGCACGACTAATGATTGTGAAGACGCAACAGTCACGTTGATGCGCGGCGGTGGAGTCTCAAGGATGGAATTGTCTGGCACGATTGAACATTCTCAGAAGGCTGACTTTCAACTGGGCACTTGCCGCAATGAAAAAACTGTGAGGGACCTATGAAGAGGGAACTTGGAGGGAGGGTATAGTGCAACATCACTGATGCGTCGTGGATTTACACTGGTCCTCCTCCTCCTCCTCCTCCTCCTCCTCCTCCTCCATCCCGACCCCCAGTCTCACTCCAATCCACCTTTGGATGCTTTAGGTAGCGTTAGCTACATCATGGTATTGTAGACTGGTGTCCCGTTCCTTTCATCACCACGCACGCGGGTAAGAAGAGAGCCAAAATTGTGATTAGCATGTTGTTACTAAGACACATCATATAGACACTAGGTAAGCATGCAAGATCCGTGAAGGCAAACTGCAACGGTTGCCCAACGAAGTCGGCCAAGAATAGGCCGAAGAGGCAGACAACGAAGTCGACTAAGAATGGTCCGAAGAGGCAGAGATTTAAAGAATCATTGGAAAATCGCCCCATCCTTGTTACGGAGCGCGGGAGCAAAATAGTTTGAAGATCTTCCAAGTTGTGATCCACATTTGGTCAAGCCCCATGTGGGGTCTGGACCTCGGTACATACTGGCTCACGGCCAGGCCAGGCGGCCATCAAGACCAAGATCTGGCCAAAAATCTTCACGTGAAGACGTGGTGGTGGTTTATGCTTTCCCTCTCCCGACCTCCGCTGACTCCCGCACCGTGCGAGAGTAGAGGCACAGAAGACGGCATAAACATAGACTTATAGGTGCTCCGCGCACAGTTCTTGGATCGCAGGGCCCCCTCCCCCGCGCGCGGAGCGCGCTGGCGGCAGCGCCCGAGGCGCCGTCAGAGGGGGGCCCGCGCCGATCCGAGAAATCCGCGCAGAGCTCCGAAGACTGGCGGCACGCCCGAAGTGGATACGGCACAAATGAGCACGACGCCCAACAGCAAATGTTGTCCAAAACTGGCAGCGGCCGTGGCTGGGAAGGCGACGTTTTGCATCGGATGCATGACGTGCATGCCGAGGCCGACGGCGAGCCCTTTTCGAATGATCATGAACTATGGTCGGTCTTCGCGCCCCTTCTTCCCGTTGATCAGGAACTGCTGTCAGTCTTCGTACCCATTCTTTCTGTACCCGTCTCGATCGCACCGAACCACTGCGGCATCGCAGCAGGCAGAGTGGCAGCTCGGCGAGCAGCTGTGCCGCGGCACCTCCCGTTCTGCCCCAAGGTGCCCAACCTCCCCAAACATGCTCGCGTCTTGAAAAAAACAAAGACGGGAGGTTCTGGCAATTTTGGGCCTCTGGAGGCCCTCGCCCTTCTCTGGGACATCCCCAAACCAAAAAACACCCGGGACGAAAACCGGCCCTGGGGAAAGAGTCGGGACTCCAGAGGACCCCGCATGCAATAAAACAAGAAGACATCGCGTGTGTGGGTCGCGTGCCGCGCCGGCGCGACCGGCGCGGAGCGCGCGCCATCCTCGCGCCCTCGCGCCACACTTAAGTCGGGCTACGTTTTTGACTGTTTCTGAATATTCCTCCTGTAGAGGGACAGGCCCGACCTAACGCTCAACCCCCTCGGCGGACAGTGGCGCCCACGGCTCGGAGCCGCGGCGCGCGCCCAGCACGGGCCCCACAGTGAGCACGCCTGCGCACGCCTGGGCCCCTCCGCCGCGCTGCACGGGGCCAGGACCCCCGACGCCCTGGCGTTTTCACCTCGTGGATTCCCAAAAGGAGGCCTGGACCCCTTGCCAGGGACTCTTCCTCCTCCTCCTCCTCCTCCTCCTCCTCCTCCTCTTCCTCCTCCTCCTCCTCCTCCTCCTCCTCCTCCTCCTCCTCCTCCTCCTCCTCCTCCTCCCCCTCCTCCTCCCCCTCCCCCTCCCCCTCCTCCTCCTCCTCCTCTCCCCCTCTCCCCCTCTCCCCCTCTCTCTCTCCCCCTCTCCCCCTCCTCCTCCTCCTCTTCCACCACCACCACCTCCCTCCTCCCTCCTCCTCCTCCTCCTCCTCCACCACCACCAATCCACCACCACCACCACCCACCTCCACCCTCCACTCCACCTCCACCTCCCCTCCTCCTCTTCCTCCCTCCATCCTCCTCCTCCCCTCCTCCTCCTCCTCCACCTCCACCTCCACCTCTTCCTCCTCCTCCTCCTCCCATCCTCCTCTCTCCACCTCCTCCTCCTCCTCCTCCCTCCTCCTCCTTCCTCCTCCTCCTCCTCTCCTCTCCTCCTCCTCCTCCTCCTCCTCCTCCTCCTCCTCCTCCTCCTCCCGCCTCCCGCCTCCGCCTCCCGCCTCCGCCTCCGCCCTCTCCTCCTCCTCCACCTCCTCCTCCTCCTCCTCCTCCCTCCTCCTCCTCCTTCCTCCGCTGCGTCCGCCGCACAAGCCTCCGCCTTCGCTCCGCCTCCGCCTCCCTCCTCCGCCTCCCCCTCCTCCCTCCTCCCTCCCTCCTCTCCTCCCTCCTCCCTCCTCCACCCCCTCCCTCCCTCCCTCCCTCCTCCCTCCTCCCTCCCCCTCCTCCCTCCTCCCTCCTCCCTTCCTCCCGCCTCCCTCCTCCCTCCTCCTCCTCCCTTCCCCCCACCCCACCTCCTCCCTCCTTTTTCCTCCCCAGTCGCGTTTGGACTGTCCGGTGCCGCGGCGAGGAACCCTGGATGCCGAAAATTGGCAAAGAGGAGGTCTGGTCCCAGCCCCATCTAGAGCCTGCCGCCGGGCCCCTGGAAGAGGCGGGGATTCCACGTTGAGGCGTCGTGGGCTTCTTGGGCACTATCTAGGGACTCCTGTGCACGTCTTTGAAGCTGTTTAGGGGCCTGGTGGGGACTCTCGGAGGCAGTTTCGAAACGCCCTGGGTGCCGTTTGGGGGCCTCCGTGGGGTGTCTTGGGGGCCTCTTGGGGCTTCTCAGGGGCCTCTCTTGGGCCGCTCGAGGGCGTCTTGAGGCCTTTTTTGAGGGGGCCTCTGGCGCTCAGGGCCCCTGGGCCACGCCCAGACCGCGCGGGCCCCTCACCCGGGCTGCCCGGCTCAAGCTGCGGGCTGCCGCGGGCCAGCCGAGTCGCGCCTGCAGCTTCCCCAGGGCGGCCACCTTCGGGTCCTGCTCCTCGCCCGCGTCGTCGTCCTGCTCGGCCGCCACCGTGACCTCCCGGGCCTCGGCGCGCGAGCGTGGGCGGATGCGCGCAGGCCGCCGGGCCGGCTGCACGGGCTGCAGGAAGAAATCTCCCTTCAGCCAGCAATCAACTCAATATGATGCAGAATCGCAAGAGCATGGCATGGCTGCCCCCCGAAAGAGCGACGATGGGCGCGCACGCTGCACCGCCTGTCCTGCATCCCTGAGACAGTAGCCACCACGAGAGCAAATGCTGGACGGCACCAGCATGGCTCACTGGAAGCAAGTCGTAAATGGCCTCTCTATCCAGAAACAGCACACGCTGCATGTCGAAATTCGTTTTGAATGCACGCACAGCGCACGTACTTGTGCGTTCGGAAATACTTGTGTAGTTGTGTGAGCGTATGTGTGCGCTGGTACTCACATGGAGTCCAAGAAAGTCGTATGGGTATCCCAGCGCAGTCCTACGGAGCCCGATGGAATACAATGACCGAGTGAGTATTTCAGTGAAGCCCCCTTGAAGTCCTACGGGTTCTAACGAAAACATACGAAGTCCAGTGGGCTCCGTTGAAGTCCAATGGAATCATCTGCGTATTGTAAGGGATCCAAATTGAATTCAATGGATCTCCATAGACCTCTCCAGTCCGTTGGACATATGAAATCCAAGGGGGTCCAAATCGCTTCGTAATTGGATCCAGTCGAGCCGTAAGGAGTTCAATGAAGTCTTGTGGGGAGCCCTGTGGAGTCCAATGGAGTCGTATCGGTATTCCAATGGAGCCCAATGGAGTTGTATGGGTGCTCCAATGGAGTCCAATGAAGACCACTGGAGCATGATGGAGCCACTTGGAGTCCGATCGAGTCCCATGGGGTCCTATGATCTGCAATGGAAATCATTGGAGTCCACGGGAGCTCCAATGGAGATCCGTGGAACTAAACGGAGTCTAATGGAATCGAATGGAACCCGATAGAATACGATGAAGACGAATGGAATCCACTGGAGACAAATGTGGGGCATTTGATCTGCCCTTCCGACAAAAACCTGGTGACCCCCGGCCAAACACGCCGGCCACCCGCGAACCCCTGGAAACCACCAGAACCCACGGCAAAATCAAGAAAACTAGCCTCCCAGTTCGCCAAGATAGCCTCAAAGACAAGCCCAACATGGTCCAAGATGGTTTCCAAGAGCGCCCAAGACGCCACCAAGATGGCAAAGATGGCCCCAAGACAGCCCACGAGGTCTCCAAGACGCCCCAAGAGAACCTCCAAGAATGCACCAAGATGCAGACATTACCAATTTGTTCGCGTGTGCTTCATCACTCTCTGTGTGTTCTCGCCTTCGAGGTCTCCCCACGCCTCCGACATGGCCCCAAGACGGCCCAAGAGACCCCTAAGTGGCCCCAAGACGGTCAAATATGGCCTATGGACAGCCTGAATGGCCTCTACGTCGGCCGAGATGGCCGTACACATCGTTCAAGGATACCACCAAGACGGTCCACGATACCACCAAAACGGCCAAGATGGCCCAAGATAGCCCAAGATGGCCCAGTCTTGGGTGTACTCCGGTCCTCCTCCTCCTCCTGCTCCTGCTCCTGATCCTTCTCCTCCTCCTCCTCCTCCTCCTCCTCCTCCTCCTCCTCCCTCCTCCTCCTCCTCCTCCTCCTCCTTCTCCGCCTCCGCCTCCGCCTCCGCCTCCGCCTCCGCCTCCGCCTCCTCGTCTTCCTCCGCCGCCTCCGCCTCCTCCGCCCCGGCGGGGGGGCAGGGACCTCCTCGTGCGCCTCGATGGCCTCGGCCATGCCCGTCGGCACCTTGGGCGCCTGTGCGGCAGCATCGCCCCCCCTCCCCCACCATCGGCAGGGGGGAGCGGGATTCCAGAGTTCTAGGTTGGCCTCGCGCGCGCGCCCGCAAGGCGCCCGCAAGGGGCACGAGGTCCAGACAAAGGAACAAGTTCAAACAACAACAAAAAATGCACGACGGCGACGGCGGCGGGCGAGACGGCGACGGCGGCTTTCGACACGTCAGACGACCGACGAGACGCCCGCAGCGGCGCGACCGGCGGCGGCGACGACGACACCGCTGTCGCTCGCACGGGGGCGAGCGCGGACCCTGTCGGGAAAAAGGGGAAGGAGGAGCGTGGAACGAGGGAGGAGAAGTTACGTAACTTGACTGAGGGCGTGTTCGGACGTGTTCGAGCGCTTTCGTCGATTCTTAAAAGACCTGCCGCCTCGGGGTGCTTTCCAGCAAAAGCGCCTCGTCGAGAGCGTTCGGCAAAGTCCGGGATCGTCCCGAATGGCTGCTGGAGGCGCGAATTACGGCGCGAACACCAGACCTCCTGGCGTTGCGAAAAGATCACGACGGAGAACTTTCGTCCTTTCGTCCGCTTTCGCCAGGGGAGGATGAAAAGCTTGCCTTGTGAAAAGAGTCGGAAGGGAAAGGGGGGAGCTCAGACCTCCCCAACACTACGGAGAGTCTTTGGCAGGTCTCGGCTTTCTGGAGGCCCTTTCTGTGAAAATCACGACGCGCTGATCTCCTGGGGACAGGAAGGAAGTGGAGAAGAGGGAGGAGGACAAGCTAGGTGCACTCGCGTCATATCTGACGTCCTATCCCTTACCATGGCGTAGATACCTCTCTCTTCGCACAGTCAGATGTCGTAGCGTGGCATAGCATTACATGGCATAGCATGGTGTTGAAGATAAACGCGTAGCATGACGTAGCATAGCGTGGCGACGCCCCAAAGTGGGGCTTCTGCGGGCCAAAAAAACAACGAATCAACACCGAATGTGAAATCACTTCTGATGTTTTTCCCACATAATTATCCAAAAGATGGGGTTATTGTTTTTCCCCCATATCCTAAGTATGGGGTTCTTGTTATTGGCCGACCGCGCCGGAGGAACCTCCTCCTCGTCCTCACCTCATCCCCATCCACCCCACTCACTCATCACTCAGACTCACTCATCACTCAGACCCACTCATCACTCAGACTCACTCATCACTCAGACTCACTCATCACTCGGACTCAGTCATGACTCAGACTCATCACTCATCACTCAGACTCACTCATCACTCAGACTCACTTATCACTCAGACACTCAGACTCACTCGTACTTGTACTCATACATTCACTACACCCACTCAGGTCCACTCATCGGATGACTCACACACACACACACACACACACACTGATGTTGAGGATGTCTCAGGCGATTCTGTGGCTTCAGCACTCCTAAGGGGAACGGCGGGGGGGTATTGCACTCGGCCCCTTTCGCGGGATTTTGTGGGGATGTCTCGAGCGGTTTGCCTGTTTTCTGTGCCAACATCCTTCGCTTTCGGAGCAGATTTGGAGGATGTCTCGAGCGAGGCGCTCATTTTCACGTTCCTAAGGGGAGCGGCGGGGGGTATTGCACTCGGCCCCTTTCGCGGGATTTTGTGGGGATGTCTCGAGCGGTCCGCCTGTTTTCTGTGCCAACATCCTTCGCTTTCGGAGCAGATTTGGAGGATGTCTCGAGCGAGGCGCTCATTTTCACGTTCCTAAGGGGAGCGGCGGGGGGGTATTGCACTCGGCCCCTTTTCGCTGGATTTTGTGGGGATGTCTCGAGCGTTTGCCTGTTTTCTGTGCCCAACATCCTTCGCTTTCGGAGCAGATTTGGAGGATGTCTCGAGCGAGGCGCTCATTTTCACGTTCCTAAGGGGAGCGGCGGGGGGTGTTTCTCTCGGCCCCTTTCGCAGGATTTTGTAGGGATGCCTCGAGCGGTTTGCCTGTTTTCTGTGCCAACATCCTTCGCTTTTGGAGAGATTTGGAGGATGTTCTCGAGCGAGGCGCTCATTTTCTCACCACCCCCCAGGTGGCCAGATTTTGAGGATTCTCAGATCGGTTTGCTTGTTTCGGTGGCCAGGCTCGTGGGCGCTGATTCTTCTCATGGATCCTACAGGAGGCTCCAACAGTCTCCAGGATGCCCCAGGAGACCACACATGAGGTCCCAGGAGAGGCATCAGGAGGCCACAGAAAGACTCAAGAGGCCACAGTATGTCCCACGAGGCTCCAGGAGGCCCCAGGAATTTCCAGAAGGCCTCAGGAAGCCACAGGAGGCCCAGGAGGCCACAGGAAGCGCCAGGAGGCTTCGGAAGGCAACAGGAGGCCCCGAGAGGCCCCAGGAGTAGGAGGCCTCGGAAGGCAACAGGAGTGGCTCCAACCCCATGTGTTTTACGTATGCTCCTATCGATTGGGTCTCACCTGGAGCACGATTCCTTGATGTTATACCTCTGTCTCTATAGATTGTCCTTCTCCGGTGTACACAATCCTACATGTTTTACGTATGAACCAATACATGGGGCCATCTCCTGGGCAAGCTAATCCTTGGTGGTATTTTAACTCGTGTGTTCCTGTAGATTACCCTTCTCCTGTGGCACGAATCCGCAATGGTTTATGCACGTCTGTTGCTATATATTGCGCCTCTCCTGGGGCACGAAACCTCCCTAGGAGGTCCCAGGAGGCCCCAAGAGGCTCCTGCAGACCCCAGGAAACCCCAGTAGGTTTCAGGAGGCCCCAGGAGGCCCGAGGCTCATGCACAAAGACGCGCTCGTACTACTGAGGCTCATTCTCAACTTAAGATAGAAACTATCCAATACATTCGCAAGTTGGATGTATGTCCAAACCGCCAGAACAACTGAAGCCCGTGTACATTCGAATGCTCTTGCGGCTAGACATTCACGGCGACAGGTCCCATGCGACTAGATGCACAGATGGGGACTCCACGCAGTTAATAATTATCCACGATACCACAGCGCCAGACCAAGAGAACCCCTCCCCTCCTCCTCTCTGCACGAGACAATGATTATGATTGTCATGATGATGACATGGTATCGTGAGAGCATGATGTGAGTAAAGATGTGAGGTGAATGATGATGAGTATGAGATGAAAATGATAATGATAATACTGATAGATGAAGATGATGATGATGATGATGATAGATGATGATGATTCGGACGACGAGATGATGATGATGAAAAAAAATATGAAGCCGAAGCCGATGCCGATGACGATGCATGAGGACGATGACGATGACGAATGAGCAGATGATGAGGATGTCTCGAGCGGCTTGCTGGTTTTAGCACTCCTAAGGAGGGGCCGCCAGGGGTATTGCACGGCCTCCGTTCGCGCCCAAATGGCGGGGATGTCTCAGGCGGTTTGCCTGTTTTGGTCCTCAACATCCTCCGCTTTCGGAGCAGATTCTGAGGATGTCTCAGGCGAGGGAGGCGCTGGCTTTCGCACCCCAGGGGGGCCAGATGTCGAGGATGTCTCAAGCGGTTTGCGTGTTTTGGTGGTCAGACTCGTCTGCTGTCAAAGCAGACTCTGAGGATGTCTATGGCGAGGCGTTGATTCTCGCACCCCAGAGGGCCCAGATTGCGAGGATGTCCTAGACTCACTTATGCTCAGGCTCACTCATATTCAGACTCGCACTCATCATGCTCATACTCAGACTCACTCACACCCAGACTTACGCACACTCAGACTCACTCACACTTAGACCCACCCACCCTCAGACTCATTCGTAGTCAGACTCACGCGTACTCAGACCCACTCAGGGCCAGTTCATATCCATCATACTCATATTCAGACGCACTCACATTCAGATTTACTCACGCTCAGAATCACTCACACTCAGACCCACCCACCCTCAGATTCACTCGTAGTCAAACTCGCTCGTACTCAGACCCATTCAGACTTAGACTCGTACTCACTGTACTCATACTCTGACTCACTGGCTTTCGCACCCCGGGGGGGGGGGGGGCAGATTGCGAGGATGTCCCAGACTCACTTGTGCTTAGACTCATACTCATCATACTCATACCCATACACCATACACACTCACACCCATTCCCATGCAAATAATGCACATATGGGGAGCTCCACGCAGTGAAATAATTTCGGGGGGGGGGGGGGGGCATTTTCTAGATTTTGGAGCCGATTTGAAAGAACCGAAACCATGCCGCGGCATGGCACTGAAAATTCGCCGGCCCAACGGGCCAGTGGCGTGCTAAGATCTCCGGTACCTGGTTAACAATATTTCTAGTTCGCGCGCGCGGAGCGGCCCCTGGGGGCCCCTGGACGAAAAGTCAGGTCCCCCCAGAGCGCTCCAAGGGGCCATTTGTCGACACCCCTCACGAGGATCGTGGCCTCCGAGGGGGGAGCCGCAATCGACTACCCCCCCTCCCGCCCCAAGAGGCCCCCAAGAGGCCCCCAAGAGCCCCCAAGAGGCCCTAGGGGCCCCCAAGACGCCGCCAAGGAGCCGCAAGAGACTCCCAAGAGGTCCCCAAGAGGCCCCCAAGAGGCCCTAAAGAGGGCTCCAGGGCCGGCGGAATGAGCGAAGCGACTAAATAATGACGCCAACGCTGCAGCGGGAGCACGATTCGGAACGAGCGGAAGCGCGGAAATGAGGCCAGCGCTGCAGCGGGAGCCCTAAAATGAGGCCAGCGCCTCAGCGAGAACAGCATTTTGAAGAAACACAAACACACACACACACACACACACACACACACACACACACACACACACACACACAAATGCTTTAAATTAAACATGATCGACCCACGAACCCGGAAAGGAATGTAGAACTGTAACACATGGCAGCGTTTTCAAAGACACCTGATTGGGTGACGGGCAAATGCAATACTGAAGGTATCGATCTTGATGTACCCTGCCGAGGGCTGTGCTGTGCTGCGCCGTGCTGAATTGCGATGTGCCATGGCGCGACTGTGCTCTATAGCCTCGTGGATCGAGTCCTCCTTTGCATCCGAGTCCTGACCGAACTGATCTGGATCTTAAGCTCG